ATACACACACACACACACACACACACACACACACATATATATATATATAAAGTTATTTATATATACATATAAATTGAGCAAAAAATATTAGAAATTAATATAAATTTGATTTTGGTCCAAAGTAGTCATTGGAAAAATATAAAAAATATTTACATTTTAATTTTATTTAAATTGAAATTTTATTTTGAATTCCATATTTCTGTTTTGTACCCCACATCTGTAGACTGTAGGTGTTGGATTATATAGTGTATCGTGTGTGTGTGTGTCTTGTGTTCAAGTACACTTGTGTATGTGCATTTACCCGGGGACTCTGCTATCGACGGAAAGCTGAAAGAGCGTGTGGCCTTAAAGGAAACGTCATTGTGACAACTGATGCTCTGTGCCCGCCGTCGGCACTCGATGGCCAAACGACTGCAGCAGTCTTTATGACAGCTCACCCCACACACTGAAAAAACACAGAACAAAAATTTGTGATAAAACACGAATTTACACACGAAAAAGATAAGTTAGGTTCTACATTTGGTTTCATACCTTTGCATTTGTATCGCTGTTTGTAAAATCCCCATATCTGTCAGAAAAAACATAAAATAAATAAGTCAGAATATGTATATATATATATATATATATATATATATATATATATTCAAAAATAAATAATATGACAGAATATATAAGAAAAACATGGAACATTTTTTAAATGGATTTTGGGTGCTTTAGTTTAGCTCATTATTTGAGTTAACATTTGAATTGGAACTATATGATTTTTAAAAAAATTGATAATCGGATGTACGGAAGGTTAGACATGTTCATTGATATTCTAAAAAAAAAAAGTCTAATAAATCTACATTACTGTTCAAAAGTTTGGGGTCAGTTGGGGTCACACACACACACACACACACACACACACAATCAAAAATACAGTAAAATTTGTGTAATATATATTTGTATTATATGTTTAAACAAGGATTCCTTGATGAATAGAATTCTAAATCTTCTGTAACTTTAGAAATGTCTTTACATTCACTTTTGATCAATTTAATGCATCCTTTAATTTAAGTTTTAATTTAAGTATTGAAATATTAAATTAAAAGTAAAGCATTAACTAATTAAAAAAATGAATAAATAAAACTTACTGGCCCCAAACCTTCGAGTTCATGTAGTACATTCAATTTAGTGTTCTACAAAATTGAAGTTATTTCTTTATTTCTTGTTTAATTGCTTAAATTGCTTACAGCCTAAGTGTAATTTAATTTAATAGAAAAGGCTTGTCAAAAATGCTGGTTCAAAAACAAAAACACTGAAGAAAAAGGAAAACAGGTTCTCTGCTGGGGTGGACCTTGACAGGAAATTAGAAAATAGGAAGTGGTTACTATCTCCACCCAACTACCAACTGTGAACATAACAACATCTTTCCCACAGACACACCCTTAAACACAACCCTGCTGCACTCGCACCGAAAACAGCACAAGCACCATAAACGTCTGACAGCAGAGACAAATATGAACGAATGCAAGCCATGAATACAATCTGGCTTACGAGTGATAATAAAATAGGCATTATGTGCATCTGTGCTTTTTGAAATAAATACAGATCTGGATGTCTGTTTCTCATGATGCTGAAAAGATCTTATTTCATCTCATGTGTGGGCTGTTATCACATTGGAGATGAAGATAAAGAGTTTGAGGCCCAAATAAATCATGCACTCACCAAACGAGAGCAGTGCCGACAAAATGAAGGCTTGACGCTGCTCGCCTCAGTAAACGTGTGAACAAAACCCATCTTACAGTTCTGTAAGGAGCTCGCCTTTGTGAAGTACTCAATCATCTCCTCTCGGCTAATTTTACAATCCCTGGGAGTGAAAATGAGAAAGAGAAAGATGGGACCTTCACTGTACTGTAGACTTTGACAAATGAGGAAAAATAATTACTCCAGATACACTGGACAGATGTCTTGATAAACCCACTGGTTTTGGTCCAGTTCATCAAACTTGCCAAGGTAAGGGAAATTCCTCCTGATGATCTCTAACTCTCCTTGGGAAATGTAGCCATCACCATCGGTGTCAAAATTTTGGAACACTGACTGAAAGTAAGACATCGTCCAATTAGTTCTCTTTCACCACAAGTTAATTTATTACATGCCTCTCTAATACTTGTCAAACTTCTGCAATATCACAGTGTTGATTATTGTTTGTTGTTCAGCTCAATGGCACGATTGTGAATATGATATTTCTTTTTAATTAGCTAGAGCATAATCAAGAAGTTGTTGCGTAACTTACATTTTTGACACATATTGGCAAATTATTTTTGCTTGCTCCAGTAATTAAAATATTCGCAAACAAAAAGCAGAATCAAGTGGTTTCATGTGTCCAAGTTACTTTCCTTTTTTGTTTTTGAAGAAATTGGTTGAGTGAAAGATTAAATGACTTGCTCATAAGGTAGGCCACTTGTTTACATTCTAAATGAATCAGGTTTGAAAATGGATTGGTTGAGTGAATGATTCAATGACTCACTCATAATGCAGCACATCTTATGGAGGACTGTTTACTGATCCTGGGAGAGTTGACTACAATGCCGGCTGTTCTGACTCACAGCCTGCAAGTACGTTTTCATTTAAAGGATTTGCCACTGATGATTCAAACGCGAGTTTTGGGCAGTGTAGAGTAGCACTTGTTGTTTGTCATTTCTCCGATCACAAATGCAGACAGTGTTTTATGTTTACGCGGCACGATGCAACGCAACGCGTAAAAAGACAGTATAAGTCATTATAATCAGTAATTATGTCCCCACTCAATAAAAAATTGACGCGTTTCAAAAAGGCGGGCTATAGAGGAGAAACAATGTACAGTATGTGGAAAATAATGTGTTTTTTTTACTTTAAACCGCATAAACACATTTCATTACAACAAATACGCAAAATAATGTTCTTTTTAGCAGCATCATATGACCCCTT